AATTTCGGTTCCTCCTCACAAATCCCTAAATGTTTTATATCTTCACTCTGACTGGTAATACCTTGTAAACTTGTGGAGTCATAACTGCCCTCTGAGAATGTAACTCTCTTCTGCGACACTCTATTCAACGATGGTTTACCAGTTGCAACTACAGACTTCTTGACCAAACCGTTATCGTCACACTATTCGGAGTCAGACCTTGATTTCACATATACATTACGACTGAACTTGCTCACTGATTCACAGTTCACCCTTGTATGAACTACTTGCAAAAGTGTAAAACACAACCGTGTTTGTCTTGCATCTTGTAACTTATATGTTATGGATGCACCACGAAATCTGTCAATGTGGTTGAAGATTGAACGATCAATTCATGGTTGTTTGCTCGAAACCAACTTCCCCAGTTTTCGCGCAGGCACCAATACGACAGTCATAGTCTCATCGGTCGCTGTTCAGAAAAAAGTCAGGACATAACCGTCATGAACCTTACTGTTAAAGCTTGATTTTAAAAGTTGCCTATATGTTGGTGTTACAAAAAAGAATTCTCGAATCGCGAATCGGTGTTTTGCTTTTTGCGTCTGTTATTACTAAGCTTTTCTGAGAAACTTCAAGGAGCATCGTGAGTCCCAGCGTTGCAAGAGCTGGGCATTGGCGGTTTACGAGACGTGACTGACATAAGCTTTTACACTCAATTAATCTATATTCATTACTTGACACCATAGAGCCTTCTCGATATCCACCTCTCTGAGGCCCTTTCGTCATCAATGATTGCATTTTGCCCTCAGACTGCTCTATTCTAGGGTTGAGATTCAATATACTGGCCAACTTGCTCATCGATTGATTGACACTATCTTTTACTAATTTCAGGATATCATCAAACTTTGGCTCGATACCTTCATCCTCCATACGGGAGCTTATCTTCGCCCACTTCCTTTGCAGTCGAGTAGGTAGACGTCTTGCTATTACTTCTAGTATAAAACTCGAGTTGAGGTCACCCATGCAATTCATCGAAATCAATGCATTCTTGTAAGTCAGCAGATTATCCAAAAACTCAGTAAGTGCCTGGAGTCATCCTGTAATTGACTGCCATTACCCTTAACAGCCTCAAATAATTTCCCTATAATCATCGAAGTTCTTCCAAACCTTTGACGTAGTATGCTCATAGCCTCGTTGTAGCCCTCTTTTGGCTTCATAAACTTACAGCACTGTATAGCTCTTGAAGCATCTCCAGTGCAATACCTCATCAAATACATCAATTTCAATTCATCACTTAATAAAAAACTACTCAGCATGATCTCAAACTCCCTTACAAATTGTAAATAATCAGCCGGGTTTCCATCGAAACACCGTGGTTCAAATTTAGAGAGTTTGATGTTCCTATTATCCCTGGATGGCGAAACAGTAACATCAACCATGTCATGCTTAACATCAGACAGATCGTAACAATTAACAGACTAGTCAACATGACTTACTTTCCTGTTTGCATCCAAGACGCTCTGTCCCTTCTTTGACCCAGGCATTGTTCAACTTGACCCAATTCCAAAATCGTTCCAGATATTGCTTGTTCAAAGAGGACTTGACCGGCACCAGGAAAGATGAACGGTGACTATCCCAACTTTCACTAACTGTCTGAATCCGCCAGAATCTGTTTCTACCGTCAGAATCTGACTTCACTATCGTAAACTGTGGGTCACATCTCGTAAACCGTTAATGCCCAGCTCTTGCTACGCTAGGCCTCACGCTGTCCCTCGAAGCTTCTCAGAAACGCTCAGTACGAACTGACGCAGAAACCAGAACACAGATTGACGACACGAGAATTCTTTATTGTAACACCCACATATAAACACTGTTACAACTTAGATTTCTGACGGTTTTCCTGTGACTTCTTTCTAAACCTCGACCGATGAGACGATGACTGTCGTATGGATGCCTCCGCGAAAATTGGGGAAGTTAGTTTTGAGCAAGAAACCATGAATTGGTCGTTCAATCTTCAACTGTATTGAAATAGACCAATCGAAATATTCCCTGATGTGGTCATCAACAATACTTCTCAGTACTTTTGACACCACTCGGAGTAGAGCTGCTGGTCTATATCTAGTGGGATTTTGCCTATTCCCGCTCTTGAAGATCGAAGAAAGGTTTGCTATTTTCCACTCCCTTGGTAGTTTCTCCAAATCCATTGAGTTTTGGAACGAGTCGCACAGGGGTCTACAGAGAGCTTCGACGCTCTGTTTCATAACAGATGGCCTTATGTCGTCACAACCTGGTAACTTTCCAGCTGTGAGTGGCTGTAGCTTCCTTATGACTGTTGCGGGGTTTATTTGGAGAGTAGCCACTAGGTCTTCCTCCTGTGAAATAGTGGTGCCACCATCTTGGTCCGTACGGGTTATATCCACATTGCTGTTTAGATGTTTGGCGAAGGCCTAACTGAATGTTTTAGCATGTTTTCTGAAAAGTATGCCGTTAAATGCTCGATCTCTCCTTAACAAAATAACTTCCTTTCCCAGCTTCGTATACATGGAGCGACCAACACTGATTCTGGCGACTGAAACTTGGCTTACTACTGATATACCTGACACAAAGCTGATAATTGATAACTATAACATCCACAGGAATGACAGAGCGGACAAGAGAGGAGGCGGTTGTCTAATATATGCCTCTAAATCCACTGACTCCAATACCTTTACAAACCTAACTATCGACAAACTCCCAGAATCCAAGTGAATAAGCATCCACGCGAATGAAAATAACATTCTTGTGGGATGTATATACAGAGCCCCTAACAGCCCTATAACAACTGATACGGTTATCGGAGAAATACTAGAGACTGTACCTAAGCTGGAATTCGACTACAAACTAGTTTGTGGCGATTTCAACCTCCCTGGAGTGAACTGGGATACCTGCACTGGACCGAGAACCTATGAGGTGATCCTAGAAGCCGTAGATGTAGGAGGATGGAAGCAGTGCGTACGCCTCCCAACACGATACAACAATATTCTCGACTTAATCCTCTGCCACAAAATAGAGCCGATCTCGATAGAGGCGGGGGATAAACTCGACAACAGTGACCACAACATATTGTACTGCACCCTACCCTTACAACTAACAACTAAACGCACATCTAAGAGTTCCCCGGTTTACTAACAATATAGGGACTATCGAAATTCCGACTGGGAATTCCTACCAACGCTCTTGAGAAGCTCAGACTGGGGTGAATACTTCACCAATAATAACTTAGAAGTAATACCAAATGCCTACTACAAGACAATCAGTTCAGTGAGAGACACAATCGCACCCCTGAAATCTGCCCTAAAGACACCAACTCCATTCATAGACCGCAAAACGAGAATAAAACTAAGGAAACTGGAAAGGAAATTTTATTTATACAAAGAATTTAGTGCATTACACCAGATACATGGAAAATTTAAAAATCTTGAAGCGAGACATAAAGTGAAGGCACAAGTCGAGGAAAATAAAGCCCTAGAGGGCACCTCTTAAACTCAGGAACTCTGCAAGATCTTGCAAAAACTACTGAAGATGGGGGAAGACAACAACGATAGCCGCCTAGAACATGAAGGTATAATTTATGATGATCCCCAGATCATTAGTGAACTCCTGAGTGAGTGGTTCTCCAATAACACCAAAGCGCATCCGTCCCCAATTCTCGACATAACCTGCAAAAATAACTACAAGTTAGGTGAAATCAACTTTAATATACAAAATATAGCATCGGCGGTAAGGACGTTAAAAGCTAACGGTAGTTGTGGGATAGATGACATACCATATGACATATACAGAAACGGTGGTATGGATATGATAGTATTATTACTTAGAATATTTACTCTCTCACTGATGACCGGGACCTACTCTGAAACTTGGAAAAATACATACATGTAACCTAAGCATAAAGGAGGGCCTAAAATTAGTGCATGTAATCATAGGCCTATCACTATAACACCTGTCATATCAAGGATCATGGAGAAAGTAATCAAATTTATTCAGAAAGTCAGAAAGATTTAGTGAACTAAAGGTACTTTCGGTTTCCACAGTGGTTCTCCGTACCGAATTCATTCCTTTAAAACCTCAATTAAATGACACGTCAGTACCTACGTGGAAGAAATTCCATTCTTCATTACTAAACTGAATGAGAAGAGTCATGTTTTTCATTCTAAAAACAGGAGCATTTGTAATGTTTTACTTATGTAAATGCAGTTACATACAGTTGCACTAAGAACTCAGTGCAACTCGATGGACAGTAGTATATATACAAATAAACTGAAAAATAATGTCCTCCTCATCTTATGAACAACTTGTCCTTACTCCGGGATTATAACTTTGAATCATTTTTGATTCATTTACGTTCTCAGTGGGGCAGGGCTTCAAGCTAGGGCTTTGAAGTTTCGGTAGCAGTGGCATTTGTTTTATGGGGTGGAGTTACTAGCCTAATACCCAACCTTCCCTCTTTACTAGCCGTATTACTGGCTTAGTGGGGCAAGGGAGTGCATAGGCCAGATATAGGACCCTGGAACACAAGCATGGCTGGCGGGTTTTCTACCGTTAAGCCACCGAGAGCTGAGTGGTTTACTGGAGAGCACTAATCGGACAATTAGCGCCATTCTCCGCCATTCTCTCTGTCGATTGACGATAAATACCTCGTATAATGTAATATCCCTTCCCCCACTCCCCGACCACTCCTCCGTTCATCCATCCATGGACATTTCTCCTACTCCACTTCTGTTTACTCACGAATCACACCCCATAGTTGAGGTTCAAACACCAGTCCTATCCTTTGCTCAGCTAGGTTCGAGAATCGCGTAATTGATTGGCAATAACCTATGATAGGGCATGCACTAGAGATGTGTCATCTAGCTATCGGTGTAGAAACACATACGGTCTTCCTACTTGTGGATTTTTTTTCACTCAATTGGCATTTATTTTCATTTCTGCTGCCCATCAGGATGAAGGTGAAAATTCTACTCCTCATCTCAGAGGCCACATGCAATCACGCATGCACAACACCTAAATACGTGTTTCATGAAAGATTGTCACTGTTGCTGCTCACTGTAGTCAGCTGGGACCCTACCGTGCATTCTATCAATACAACCTTCCCAAATTCTACAAACTAGCAGCTTGATGAACAGATTATCAAGTCTCTTAAACTTGACACTGAGGAGAGGAGACAGAGAAACGAAGGGAGACTGTATAGATTGCAAGGGATTCACTCCCACTCTTTCAGTTTGATGCAGGCTAACTTCACGCATGCTGTTCAATATGTGTTCTGCTTTGTTTATCTGTCTGCTCATCCGATTGTCTAAAAACATTGGCGGGCTCCTGAGAATCCACTCAGCTTTTCAGACTCAGATTTATGGGTTACTGTGAGTGAGAGCATAAAAGTTGTGTGCCGTGTGAGGCCACTTAATGAGCAAGAGAAAGCAAACGACAGCAAGTTTGTGGTGTCATTCCCCGGTGATGGAGACACAACTGTATTTCTTGGGGTATGTTTGATGGTTTTCAAACTTGTGACAACTCTTCTATCTAGGGTAAAATCTTTAGCTTTGATCATGTAGTTCAGCCGAAGGCATCTCAGTTAGAGGTGTACAAAGTTGTGGCCAAGCCTATTGTTGCAGATGTGTTGAATGGATATAATGGAACAATATTCGCCTATGGTCAAACATCGAGTGGAAAGACTTATACTATGGAGGTATGACATTCTGTTTTCTGATTGTTTCTCCTCAGGGTATTTTAGGTGACCCAGTTTTTCAAGGTGTTATCCCGCGGATAGTTGATGATATATTCAACCATATATACCAAATGGACGAGAACTTGGAGTTCCACATTAAGGTAATTTTTGTGGTGCTGCTCTTCTTATCTTCAGGTTTCTTACTTTGAAATATACATGGAAAAAATCCGTGATCTGCTTGATGGTAAGTTTTTCGCTCTAACTTATATTTTGATTCAGTTTCAAAAACAAACCTACCGGTGCATGAGGACAAAGACCGAGTTCCTTACGTGAAAGTAAGATATAATTCCATATTAGTTTGTTTATTAAATGTACCACAGTGAAACAGTATTATATACTAGATGACGTCTCGAACACAATTTATCGTTCATAATCATACCAGTATCATATTAATAAGATATAATTCCTTCCTAACGAGAATGTTTAAGGGTATCACGGAAAAGTTTGTTTCCACTCCAGAAGAGCTTTATAAAGTGATTGACGAGGGGAAGGCTAACCGTCATGTAGCCGTGACGAGTAAGTATTCTTAGTATATGTCGTACCTGAGTGTTAGCTAGGCGTGGTGGTTTGACTGAAATATTGCTTTTTTGTGCATGAAATTCAAGTTATCTTGGGGGTTTATGTGACGCTAATGTTTGACTTCTTATCCATTTATAGACATGAATGAGCACAGTTCTCGAAGTCACTCAGTTCTCCTGATCAATGTTCGACAAGAGAACTTGGAAACTCAAAAGACACTACATGGGAAACTTTATCTTGTTGACTTGGCTGGTAGTGAGAAAGTTGCGAAGACAGGCGCTGAGGGTACTGTGTTGGACGAAGCCAAAAATATTAACAAATCACTTTCTGCTCTTGGTAATGTGATCAATGCACTTGTGGAAGGAAGCGTAAGTTTATGCTCTCAGGTTGTGGTGGTGGTATTGTAGCCAGTGTTGACTTTGAATTTCCATGTGATTAAGACGCATAAGCTATTGAATTGTTCTGTGTTGATCACGCCTATTTGTATGTGCTCGCTTGTTAGCAGAGTTCTGTACTGTGTGTTTCTGAGGCAGAAGAACCCATCACACTAACTCATATATTTAGCTTCTACTACGACTAGAATCTCTTGTCTGGATATGTTGTGCTTATTTGAAGATGACTGCCACTACCTTATCAAGCTATTGATCTGTTAAATGATTTCCTGTTTTAGTCTCACGTCCCTTATCGTGACTCTAAACTAACTCGCATTCTTCAAGAATCTCTTGGAGGGAATGCACGAACAACTATGGTGATCTGTTGTTCTCCTGCTGGTTATAATGAAGCCGAAACGAAGTCCACCCTAATGTTCGGTATGCGAGCCAAGACCATCAAGAATCTGGTAACGGTGAACGAAGAAATTACGGCTGATGAATGGCGTAGGAGGTATGAGCAAGAAAAAGAGAAGGTTGGTAAATCACACACTATTGTAAGTCATCTGGAGAGTGAATTAAAACGTTGGCGAGCAGGTAAGGAATACTTACTGTGACTGTTTTTTGCTTAAGTTTAACTTGAAAGTTTTGAAATTAAGGACTCAGAATTGTTGATGTCGTACCAATTACGGGAATTCAACTTGAGCTGTTTCTGCATGACAGTTGTGTTGATTCGTCTTTTCGTAAATTGTATCTTTTTGAGTAGGAATAGAGAATGTAAAGGATGGGAATGTGAACCAATAGCACAGAGGGAAAGTAAGATATTGATGTGGGAGTATGCTTGAAATATTCAAGGTATCAGCAGCATAAAGTGACTGAGCAGATATCTCGTGTATCGGACCGTAAGCCACAAATATTTTGTAAAGACTAATGTTGCTACCAAGTTGGGGAGGCTGAATTTGATTTTACAGGATTTGAATTCCGCGAACCGATGGACTGAAAATGGAGCGCTTAAGCGAACCAGCCGCACGCCGATCAGAACCTATGGCTGGAAATATCTGGTGATAGTGTTGAGAATTGATCGTAGTGATGATAAGGGTGAATTCATGGTTTGTGCCAATCCTTGTTATAACAGATTATATCTATATTTACATCATCATCTATTTCTTCGTTTTATCCTGCTTCACGATCGATTAGATTATTCCCATCCTGCTTGATGCGCGTTGATGTATGGCTGATTGTGCTAGGTATGTAACGTTAAGTTAATGGATGAGAGGGTCGGAAGCTCGCTCTGCACATTTTAGCCTAGGGAAGTGGTTATTGTTATCAGTCGTCATCTGTCGAATGTAACTCATAAAGGCAGTCGTGGGAAACTGAATTATAATTTAATGTGGAGAAATGACGTGTAGCAGTTAAGATCACTAGTGGAGTAATATTCTATTCTACTTTGGTATTGTGACAAAGTGGTCACAGGAAATCATTCCATTCATCACTCCTATCATATTGAACTTGTGTATAGGTTGAGGAAAGGTGTAATAGTTCCAGCTCACATCATGCATAAATATGGAAGTTGACTTGGACGTAATTTTTGTTGTCATATAATATGTGTTATACGTTAAATTTCAGGTGAAACTGTTAGTGAAGCTGATTGGTTCATTGAAAGTCAATATTCTGGCGCTATAGATAATACAAGAGATTTGATAACTATACCCAGTGTCTCCAGTTCACTAATGCTAGATGGCGTCTCTACTTCTACACCACGATCTGCTGGTCTCGCAAATGCATCTCCAGGTAGTCTATTTCGTCTTCTGTTGGTAGTCGTTCTTTCATAATATTTTGTGTTAATACTATTTGTTATTTTCATTTGACATTTCGCCTTGTGTTATTGAGTAGTTTTGTGTAAGTCGGTGAATCTAGTGACTTCTAACTTCCCTTCTCCACGATGTTTTGTTAATATAGTGAAGTAGTGATATTTTTAGCACTTTAGGTAGCTTTTTTTTCTCAATGTAGACATTGGTGGTAGGACTCTGTAGTTGAGGTTGCAGAAGCTCTCTGCGATCTAAGACGAAGCGGATTGCGTCAATTGATCAACAGCATGGCTACCGATATTCATGCTGAAAATTCCGTACTTGTACCAAAAATACAGTGTGGAATCAAGCTGTAAATCAAAAATCAAAAAAATCTTCAGATGTTTCAAGATGGGAGTGGTGAATAGTGGAGTGGGGTAATTGGTGTTCTAGTCAATGTGGTGTGGTGGTCTTAGATAGCTTCATCAGATTTGTGTAGATGGCCAGGCTTCCCCTGTGCTGATCACAGGGGATCTGTGATAATCACAGAGGGATTAGCTTGACTAATATAGTATCTAAAGTCTTAGGCTCAAGATCATGCGTAGACTGAGTGGTGCTCGGGAAGCACAAACACGAGAGAGCCAGGCAGGCTTTAGACCAGAAAGAGGGTGTATTGATCATATCTTCACCCTCCGACAGATTCTAGAACATAGGCATTCCTACCGGCGTCCAACAGTCATTATATTTCTTGACCTAAAGGCAGCATTCGACTCTGTCGATCGAGATGTTCTCTGGAGAAGCTTGGCTGTAAAGGGAATTCCAAGAAAATATATTGCACTGATTAAGGCACTCTACCCGTACTCATACAGCCAGGTGAGGGCTTACGGCGAGCTGTCATCTGAACTGATGACGACCAGTGGTGTCCGTCAAGGATGCCCATTATCTCCTTTTCTATTCAACTTCATCATAGATGTGTTAGTGGACTTAACCCTAGGTGACTTCAGTGACTCAGGAATTGACTTGCTACCGGGGAATAATCTCGTTGACTTGGAATATGCAGACGATATAGTCCTTCTAGGCGAAGACGCTGACGAAATGCAGAATCTTCTAAACACGTTGAGCCGCAATCTACGAATGTTTGGCATGCGAGCGACTCGCTCCCGCCAAATGCAAGATGATGTTACAGGACTGGACTACATCGACGCCTAGTTTAAAAATAGGAAGTGAAGTGGTAGAGCACGTTGACCGCTTCACTTATTTGGGAAGTACCATCAGCCAGTGCCAACGGGTTGATCTCTGACGAAATCTCAGCACGAATACAAGGGGCTCGTTTCGCATTTGTTAGTTTACGCCGACTCTGGCGTAGACGGGATGTTCGACTATCGACCAAAGGGTGGGTGTACTGCTCATCAGTCCGCTCCGTCCTCCTTTATGGTTGTGAGACCTGGCCACTGAGAGTGAAAGACATGAAAAGACTAGCTGTCTTTGATCATAGGTGCCTACGTTCTATTTCCCGTGTAAAGTGGCATAATAAGGTGAGCAACATGGAGGTTAGGTGTAGAGTTCTAGGTAAACAGGGGAAATCAATCGACGAAGTCGTGAAGCTACAAAGACTGAGATGGTTAGGACATGTGTTACGTATGCCAAGCCATCGCCTCCCTCGACGAGCAATGTTGGCGGATATAGGGTCAGGCTGGAAAAAAGCTAGCGGCGGTCAAACAAAAACTTGGCCGAACCAGTCAACGAAATCCACAACAGTTGGTCTAAGCCACGTAGAAAGGTGTAGACTTCCAGGCTGGGGTCCTCGGGACGGTAAAAATCTATGGTTGGAAACAATTGGTGGCATGGCTCAAAATCGTTCTCAGTGGCTATCGCAGATGCATCCACTCCCTGTGACTTATGATCTCCAATGAAACTGTTTTGTTCTTCGTTATTACTCCTCCTTTGTCTCACACCTCTGCTCACTGTTTCTATTATGCTTTTCTTTTACTTTCTTCTCTTGCTTCGCGTGCTACACGGATTGTGGCGACTTGAACTTCCGCACATTTGTGCAAAGTTCTATGTCGAAAACAGACAGACAGACAGGGGGATCAGACTGGTTGATATTGTATCTAGGATACTTTGGGAAATGAAACAGTCAAGCATACAGGCTGCAGTTCTAGGCAAAGGTGTATTATGATTTCCTCTCTATCCAACAGGTTTTGAGGACAAGCTTGTTTTTTAGAGTCCAGTATTTGACATATTTCTTGGCCTACACGTAGAATTTGACTTCATCTGACTTTTTGAGAAATGATGTTGACTTATTCCAGCAGACCTACTCGGGTATGTGCAACTGTTTTGAGGGTATATGGAAAGTTGTGTTCGGTTGGCGATGATCAGTGTGCTTGCACTAAGAACGCTCACTGTCACTATCTGTACCTAATTTAGTTTGATGAATGACGTATTGGTGTTTCTTTTACATTGGTGTCAGTAAGTAATTGCAAGTAATTCTTTTACCTCTCGGTACTCGTCAAAAAGATATACCGTCAACATCGGAGAGAGCCTGTGATTTTCGGTGATTTGTCAATCGTTACCGACATCTACAACGTTACTACCAAGCTGTTTAATCCGAAACTGACGTGAGTATGATCTTAGTGAGCTTAGTGACAGCATCATGTACATGATTAGTTTTCATCGACGCTTATGACTGAAGGAAGTTTCGAATTGGCTACGGTCGAGTGACCATTGTGCACTTGTGTCAGTGTAGTGATTGTTGGTGTGATCATGTGAGGGGTGTTTAGACCGTCTGGCTGAGCTGAGGGTCCTTGGAATAGTGAAAATCATTAAGTAGAGACTCAGTACGGTAACTTGAACTTCTGTGCGGATCTGTGCTCTGATCAGTAATTCAAACAGAGGGTATCTTCTATACCAAGTAAGCTTACTAATTAATTAATTAAACAACTATTTGAACTACTGATTGGTTGTTGTTTGTGTGTGTTTCTGAGTGAACTGATGGCACTTTGCCAACCAAGAAGGTGTTGTTGCAATTCAGAAGTGTTTATTCCATTCTGATTATATGCCTGCCTCGACGTTTTATTCTGGTATGCGAAATTATCGAAATGTATTTGATGGTTTGTCAGTTTCTTTTTGATTTAGTCTTGTTTTGTTGAAACCATGAGATATTACGCGTTCTTGTCGTATCATAAATACTATGCAGAATGCTGATCGCCGTGTGTTGTTGATTCTCAGCCTGTCTGAACCAGGACGTATAGTTATTGAATTGTACAGTTGTCCTCCAGGTAGAGCGGGAAAATCAACCTCGTTTCGTTTTCATCCCGTGGTTGTAGGCATACGATAACCAACCAATATTCAGGTAGGTACAACGTTTACAAGAGATTGGAAGCTGTTTTAGAAAAGTTAAAGTGCTAAGGTGAATCATTAAAGTGTAATAAATTAAGTAAGTGCAATATATCGTTAATAAACACATTTATATATGAAACAGAATGGGGAAGTAATTAATCCTTAGGCCGACAACGTTCATTTGCAATGTATAATAAAACCAATATATTTCGCACTATTGTGATATCCACTTTTGGCTTTAATACAATTATTTTCAAGCCAGTTGTTTTTATTTCATGCTTTTATGTCTGTTTGATGCACAACCGTACCCTACAGAGATTAGCAGAGGAATAAGTCGAATCAAATTCATAAAGAGCTATAAAATGTTAGGTTTAATGAAATATAATGAGGATCAAGTAAAGACGTTATTAGAAAATAAATGAGATAAGACATTATGATGTGGTATTCAAAGATACGACAATGGATAGCAAGTTAATTTATAAGATGCCCCATAAATCTCTGCAGATCCCACATGGTCGCATCTCAACAATAGGCTCAGCGAATGGTATATATTTAAAGGTAGAAGCATGGTCTGTCAAGGCATTCACTATTATCCTTTTTCAAGATAGAGATCTAAGCCCTCATAAAAATCAGAAAAATCTCGAGCCTTCAAATTGCGTATTGCTGTTCCTGCAGAATGGGGCGATTCACCTTAGTGATCACCACCATATCTACTGAGGATAAATGTATTAAAACCAAAAGTATACATCATGATAGTACGAGATATACGTGTAGCATTATACATTGCAAATGAGCGTTGTCAGCCTAGGCAGTTTTCTTTTTTTAATGCATTTATTAATGATACTTGCACTTACCTATTTTATTACAATTTAATGATTCACCTCAGCACTTTTACTTTTCTAAAACAGCTTTCAATCCCTTGTAAACGTTGTACTTACCTCAATATTGGTTGGTTATCGTATGCCTACAACCACGGGATGAAAACGAAACGAAGTCGATTTTCCCGCTCAACCTGGAGGACAACTGTACAATTCAATAACTATACGTCCTGGTTCAGACAATGAGTGTATTTATATATATATATATCAAATATTCAACTGTTGAAACATTATTAACTTGTAGACAATCTACGATTTGATATTATATCAAACTTGACCGTGCCTGTAAAAATGGCATGCATTTTCATGTAAATTTATATGTTTATATGAGAATATACATTATTATTATTAAGACTGTCTAATAATTGTTCACAACCTTGTCATATATATTTCGCTCACACTATTTGTGTGAACTACTTTACTTACTTACCACTTTGGTGTGAGACCATTTTATTTTCGTCTCCTTGTGTTTGGACAATAGTAGTATCATCGTAAACCTAGTGGTCTTCTGATTTCCGCCTTCTTGCGTCAGGACTATTAGTTTCTCGACAGGTCCATAACAATAAATTTAGCGACGAGAACATAAAGTTTTCTAATAACGTCTTAACTTAATCCTCATTATATTTCATTAAACCTAACATTTTATAGCTCTTTATGAATTTGATTCGACTTATTCCTCTGCTAATCTCTGTAGGGTACGGTTGTGCATCAAACAGACATAAAAGCATGAAATAAAAACAACTGGCTTGAAAATAATTGTATTAAAGCCAAAAGTGGATATCACAATAGTGCGAAATATATTGGTATTATTATACATTGCAAATGAATGTTGTCGGCCTAAGGATTAATTACTTACCCATTCTGTTTCATATATAAATGTATTTATTAACGATATATTGCACTTACTTAATTTATTACACTTCAATGATTCACCTTAGCACTTTAACTTTTCTAAAACAGCTTCCAATCTCTTGTAAACGTTGTACCTACCTGAATATTGGTTGGTTATCGTATGCCTACAACCACGGGATGAAAGCGAAACGAAGTCGATTTTCCCGCTCAACCTGGAGGACAACTGTACAATTCAATAACTATACGTCCTGGTTCAGACAATGAGTGTAATATATATATATATATATCAAATATTCAACTGTTGAAACATTATTAACTTGTAGACAATCTACGATTTGATATTATATCAAACTTGACCGTGCCTGTAAAAATGGCATGCATTTTCATGTAAATTTATATGTTTACATGAGAATATACATTATTATTATTATTATTATTATTAAAATATCTAGGCGTTTGGAGCGCAAAGTGGCAACTGACTTTCAACCCGGACAAGTGCGGTATAACCTGCCTCGGACGCTGGAAACCGATAATGTGCCTATATATGTACGGTGAGCTCCTCTCGAATCTGAACACAGTCACAGATCTCGGGATAACATCCTCAGATTTATCCTTTTCCGATCATGCAAATAAGGTTGTATCTGACCGTAAACGACTTACTGGCTTTGTACTGCGTAACTTCTACACCCAAGAAGCAAGATTAGCTGTATATAGGACATGTATCCGTCCCAAACTTGGATACTGTGCTCTCCCATTTAGTAACCTCAGGTCTGTAGACAGAAAAAAATCGAAAGTCTCCAGAGATTCCTCACGAAACGCATAGTAGGGTTCGACCAACAAGTGGAATGTGTTGACAGATGTGTACGTCTGAAACTAGAGCCTCTGTGGTTAAGGAGAGTGAAGTGCAACTTATTTCTACCCTTCAAAGTCATCAGGAAACATTGCTACAGTAACTCATCCACAACGTGGGAAAATATTAAATGATATCAGCTGCGAAACCACGACTACCTCGTCAAGGTGGCTGCCCACAGAAAATCCATTAGGGCAAACTTTTTCACCATAAAATATTGCACTCTTCGGAACCAACTACCACCTGAAACAAGATGTTGTGAAAACACCGACGGGTTCAAACGGAGCCTAGAAAGACACTTTAACATGTCCACGCTAGCTCGTCTAAAAGACCACAACTGTTGGTAGAGTGGAAATTGACGGCCAGTCCAGTCTTCAGTATAGACACATACGTATATCTCG